CTTGTAAGGATGAGGTAACTCCAAAGAATCTCATCGCTCTTCTACAAAAATGGAGTATCCTTATATCCGTAGAATTGCAGTTTCTCTTTGCTGTAGAGACGTAATTTAGGCTAAGGTGTACTGTACTTTTACGTAAGGAAGAAAACGCTACGATGTATACTGCGCCAAGAAGTCTCCCGGAGGGACGGTTAGGGTGTATTTTGTTGGAAAAAGACGTTACTCTGGAGATTGACTATTTGAACGCCTTTTTTTTGGAAGAACTTACGATGCATTCTGAAAAAAAATTGCTTGCACCCTTTTTTTTGGAAGGCTAGAATATGGACAAAGCTCGCCCGTATCTTCTTCTTCAAAAAACTAGAGTTTATTCTGAGGGAACGGATGGATGTGTTTGGGAAAAGATGAGGATGTACTAAGAAGTCGCACGCTTTTTTTCATAAACAACAAACATGCATCCAGCAAAAGCACACTCGCGTATGTTTCTTTGCACGAATGGCTAGGATGTGTTCTGAGAGAACGTTGAGATTTAAATTGGGGAAACAGGATATAGTATGTGTTCTGATGGAACTACTAGGATTGCTTGCTAGGGTTCTGCTAAAACGTTTTTTGAAAAGAACTGTGGGAAACCATTTGGAAGAAACTTCACACCCGTACATTCTTTTGAGTGGCTAGAAATTATCTTAGAACAACTAGAATGTAGTCAGGAAGAACGGCCGGGTCTAGACGAAGGAGTATTCGTGTGAACGGCTAGCATTTAAGTTGAGAATTTAAACTCCCGTCTTTTAAAGAGGGACTGCCAGGATTTATTCTGGCAGAACAAGTGAGGTTATGCAGAGCAGCTAGAAGGTATCTCGAGGATCGGAGGTATTTCGAGAGGACTTACCTCATTCCTTTTTTGGAGGATGGGTAAAATAAGAAGTTTCTTAGAGGAAAGGTTAGGATGTATTTCGGGAGAACGAATGTAAGCGGAATGTACGCACATGTTCTTCCAACTTGGCTTATTATGTAATTTATGCGTGTTGTCTGCAAGAGAGCAGCTATCACAACAATGACTTAGAGTTCATCTCCAAACTCATTTAAACTAACTCTACCCACTACAATATTGACGATGAAGTGGAACGCTTGGAGAAGTCCTCTTCAATGTTTGGTTAGTCCCTGTATTCACAATGTTGATCACTTTTTTGATCAAAAGATTAAACAAGAATCAAAAATCAATATAGCATCCTTCCCGCAGCACTGTGTATATTGTCAAATGCGCGCTTTCAAATTTGAGTGTATTATCAACCAATAAATTCTCACTAAGCGATGATTGATAGCCTTAAGTGGCAAGCTTTCAAACGCCTCTGGCTTATGGCTTTGGGTTCTTGGTTTATAATTCTAACTGCGAAGTTTTCGATGTTTTCAAGCGTTATTAATTTCATATGTACCCGTTTTCCTCCTCCGGTTTTGCTTTCCGCCCAGGCCCACTCTGTGCTCTGCGGTAGTCCTGTGAAATTTTCTCACACGTTGAGTAATTTGGCTTCATTAACACTTCTAGTGCCCTAAGCAGAATTGGGTACGTTAAAATACGGGAAGCCGATTCGAACCCCAAGCCCTCGCTCGGCAATGCACTAGAAAGATCTGGGTATCGGCTTCCCATCCATCTTAACCTCAAGCCCTGTGTGCATGCACTCCGTAGGAAAGGCATTTGTCTCTGTTCCCTCTTCGCTCCCAAAGCCATCCCATGCCTTGAACCGGAGTAAATGTTTTTTAGCACACTACTTGAGGCCAGCAAGGTCCCAATTATACACCGCTTTCCTTCTCATGGCCTTTAAAAAGCCTCATATCCATTCCTCAACTCTGTGTCCCACTGTCGGTGCGAATTTCACGTGGCTCGGGCTCCGATCGAACCTTACAAGGATGGATTCCCCTCCTTGAAATTCTAATAAACCACGCCCCATTTCTAACCTCTAGAAATGAGTGCAAACGGAACAAGTACTGCAGCGGTGCTTGTTTGAAGCGCGTTTTCCTCCTGAAAGAGAACAAGGAGAACAAATGATGAGAGTCAAATGGCTAATCGGAGGCTTGAGGTCTCGCATAGTTCTCCGCTGGAGATCTAAA